ACTTTTTTGAATAATGGGATTTTTTTAAGCTTTAATTTTGCTTCTTAGTAATTTTTCTAAGATGGGGAAAGTTTTAAAAAGTTTCAACAGTGGAATGAAAATGAAAGGGTGCATGTGTGTCTGGTGAGGAAATCTGGACATGCCGTGTCAGTGGCAAAAGGAAAGGAGGGGGACTAGAAATGCAGTCTTTTCTCAAAAATATTTCATTAAAATGTAATTAAAAATTATTCACAGCAAATGCAGCGAGTAAGAGGTGACTTGGACATTTTTCACAGCAAAGCAGTGCTTTTCCACTTTGCAGAGATCTCAGTAAATAATATTAACCCATTTTACACCCTGGGTTGTTGAGAAATTACAGTCATACGCAAATTCTGTGACAGGACTAGGAATGTAAGTCAGACCACCATTTTCTCAAAGGTATGCCTTCTCCAGCTGTATTCTCCCAAGTATTACTGTTCTCACTCATAACTGATGATCATTACTTATTTTCCCAGTCACTGTAACACCCCTGGAGAGCCCTTCACTGAGTTTAAATGCCCGGGGGGGGTACAGGTGGGGTACAGGTAATGTAGGGGCAGTAATACTTGTGGCTGCTCATCTACTTGCTGTTCAGAATATGACTTGGTACCTGCGGTTTACTGACTCCTGAACACTAACTTTTCAGCATCGCTTGAAGGGAGGGGCACCAAGCAGGAGAAATGAATGTGGGAGGGAGGGAGGGAAGGTGAGGGGGTGGAAAAATGAACCTGCTTTACTGAATAATGAGGGGAGTTAAAATGAATGGGAAAAGAGAGAGAAAAGCTGGTTTAAATATTTAATCTCTGTTGCATTTGCTTTTGAAGAGGAGACAACAGCTTTGGAACATCTTTTGTCTTGAACTAATTCTGACCAGAGCTGAACAGCATGCAATTGTCACTTCTGTCATTTGCCTTAAGGTGGAGAGAAACAGATTGGTCCTGCTGCATCAGCCCATCACATCAGTCTCCATCTCCAGCCGCGGCCAGTACCTGGAGCTGCAGAAAGTATAAATTACTCGTGACAGTGACACCTCTGCCCCACGAGCCCATGCTGCCCAAGATCCTGGTGCCAGGGTGGTCAGTGTGTGTGCCGCCTGGGAGCTGCAACTTTCTTTGGAGAAGAGGAAGCTCCTCTGATGGGTCTGAGGTGCAGTTGCACGCTCCTGTGTCCCACCATAGAGCAAGTCACTTCACTTTAGGTCTTCACCACTGTTTGGAGCCAGGTGATAAGCGCAACACGACAGCAGTATTTTCCCCTTGTCTCTCCCCATTCCTCTGTATATCTTTCTACCCAGTCTCTCCCTGCAACATTTCTTGTATATCTTTCTACCCAGCCTCTTCCTGCAACATTTCTTTTCCCCTTCCCTTGACTTGCCCTCTCAAGTCCTCCCTCTCTGCTCACCCACGGTCTAGGCAGAGCCAAAATAAGCACAGCTGTCTTGTCCACCAGCCACAGCTGCACCATCTGCAGCACCTTCCGCAGAGGAGGCAGCCCCACGGATGAGCCAGCAGGACCCGCACACCAGCCTCAGAGATGACAGCTATATGTGCTGATGAGCCGCTGCACCAATGAGGTCATTTGCTTTCAGTTAGTCCTATATAAACCATATTGTTCAGTTGATACAACTCATCTGCCACACGTTCTGTTTCTCTTGTCTGTCACACTGGACACCCAGACTCGAGAGCTGCACCACAAGCCATGGCCAGTGTCACCCAGCAAGGCAGGCACAGCCCTTCGTAGTGGTGGTGGTTCTCTGCAGCCACAGCCTGTCATCCTCTGAGACAGCTTTAGCCAGATAAAAACCTCATTTAGGCTTTCTTTATAGATTGGAGGAGTAGGATGGGAAAATGCCTCCAGAGAGTAAATCACTGTAAGCCTGGCTTTTAAACTGGTAAATATCTGTAAGCTCTAAGAAAGGCTGATGGTCTCTGACTAACCAGAGGAAACTGCTGAGACTAGGAACTTTTTATCTTGTTTTGGCAATGGGTTTGTCTCTCTGATCCACTTACTCCCTTTCTAACCCTAAAAGCAAAGAGGTGCTGCCATCCCTACTTCTCAGATGGGGGCAGATATACAGAATTAACGTGACTTCTCCACCAAAGCCCCTCAGGAAAAGCAGGGAATTTTGAGCTCTGGTCTCCTGAGCCCCGAAGGAAGACATGAAAGCCCATTTTTTTGTCAACTCCTAAACTGGGAGCACACCAGAAAAAAATTAAGCAAAAAAGAAACAACCCCAAAAGCTACAACAGCATCTCTTGAGCCTCTGAAGGCTCATAGTTAGCAATTATCTTTCAAAGGCTTACTTCAGAAGTAATTTATTATTTTATTAGCTGTTTGCTGAGAGATCAAATAAAGCCAAGCTGCCTAGTCAAGTGTGTTCCTATTTTATTTTGATATAATTTGAGGAACTTGACTGGCTAGTTTAAATGCTGGAGAAGACAGCTGAGTGGGAGTTTGGGCTTGGTGAAGCCAGCTAGACAAGAGTTTTGCATTTGGTTTACAAAAGAGCTTGAGTAGGCTGAGATTCCAGGCTGATGAGATGGTCTCCAAGATGACTACACTTCTTTCTTTTTTGGCAGAGAACTCGTACACTTGGCATGTGAGCTATAGGGATGAAAGGGGAGTTTATTCTCTGTAGCACTACAGGACTTGACTTCTTTGCTGATTTTTGCAGCAATTCCTCCCACGGCAATGATACCAGGGTGCTGGTTGCTCTGTTTGGATCTAAGCTACACAAATAGTTGACCAGACACCAAAGATGGCAGCTTTTGGTCCACGTTTGATCTGAACCAATGACATTTCAAAAATTTGTCTGAGCCATAAAAATACTCCTTTACTTTTTTCCAAAGAGAAAAGGCTCAGGAGCTGACAAAGGAGTCCTGGTGTTGTGGTCTAAAAAGAGCCGAGTTCATGTCATGACCCATTACCAGTTCACTACCCCTTGGAAGAAGCCAGTGGTATTTCAATGGTGCTGTGCCAAGCCATGCTCTTCCTTCCCAAACCTAAAGTTGTCTGCATTAGGACGAAGCCAGGAGCTGCTGCTTCCCAAATTCGATCAATGGTGGTTTGCCTTTGTGTTAGCCGGGGGGTCCCAAATCCACCTCCTGTTCAGGCCTGACCTTACTGGGAGCTGCTGCCTCTCACAGGTGGTTACAGCAGGACCCTTCTTCTCACAGCCCGTGTTGTGGCTTTCAAAGTCTGCCGGCACAGAGAGACATACAGGCATGTCAGACCACGTGCCTGCAACCGCTGCGGCACCCTCCTCAACGGCTGCTGATGGCTGCTGAAGGCTGCTGTGCAGCACCGGGAGCACGGGCGAAGGAGGGAAGCATTATTCTGAGGGTGACAACAGAAGTCTCCTTGTGCTCTGAGGAGAAGGAGGAGAAAAAGCAAAGCATCTCAGGAATTCCTCAAAAGCTGCAGGAATTGTTGGGGGGGTATGGAGATGAAACAGACAAGGTAGTTGGAGGAATCTTTGTGTTCAACGAAGAGTAAATTTGCTCAAAGAAAAAGAGAGAGAACTGTGGGAGTCCTGAAACTATATTCGAATTTGGGAGATCATGCCTCCCTTCCATTTTCTTATTGTCAAAATATCTTGAAAATCTCAAAGTGTTTTTCTTCCTCTTTTTTTTTCCCCCTCTGATTAGGAGTTTTAAGTGGGAAATGCTGAAATACTTCATTTCCGATCTTTCAAAATCAATCTTTTCGACATCTTTTAAAATAGACTTGTAGACCTAAACTATTACTTCAGCTCAAAAAGGAGAAAAAATTAGAGTCAATCAACAGTGAAATAAACCGCAAACACAATTTTTCACTTGGGGTTGAACAAACTCCTTGAAGTCACCCTATTTTTTCTTTGTTTCTCTTCTTTTTCTGACCCTCGGTCCCCCCCCACGTTCAGTTTGTTTGACCTTTTTTTTACATTTTTATTACCCAGCTCTAGTTTAGTTTTTCATTTATTTAAATATTAACGAAAGAACAGCAGTTACACATTATTCTTATTTCTTAATCAAACCAACCAGCAATCATAATGTAACGTCTTCGAGGTTGAGGGAACAGGAGAAAGTATTCCATACGGCAAAAGAATTACAGGAATTATGGACAGAAAGCCCCTACTTGGGAAATGAGTCAGTCTGCTTCTGCCTAGCAGAAAAGATCAGCACGGAAGTATAGAGCCTTTAGAAACAGCTTATGAATTTACAGCTTGCAAAGCAAGTGAAGTCTCTGTGTCTCTCGTACATATACGTTAACTCATGCTCCACATATGCATACATACAGGTCTCTGCTTGAAAGACGGGGAATGTGCAGTCTGCAATGCATATGAACTTTCTGTTTAGAGGAGAAAAGAAAAGATTTTTTTCAATAGGCACAAAATCCCACCCCCTCAGCACCCCTCCTTCCCCTGTGTCTGACACTGACTTCAAGGGAGGAGTTGAGCCAATTATCTGTGAGTCCTACAGAAGGAAAATCTGCAATTTGCCAGTAGTTGTGAGAGTGAGAGGGAGAAAGGCAGGGAGGGAAGAAGAAAGACTTAATTGGCAAATGTGAAGAAAAGCTCCTTCTGTCCTAGAAAGAGAATATTTTAAAGCAAATCTCAGACCAGAAGAAAAGAAGCTCCGGGGGGGGGGGGGGCGGTGCAG